CTGGGACTGTGGCACTGGGCTCTCCGGGCAGCACCAGCCCTGACCCCTCCAATTCCCTGCTTCTTTCTGAATGCCTTTTGCTCTCCAAGTGCTCAGGTTCGTGTGGCGAGGGGCGCATGAGCCGCTTTGTCGCCTGCCGCAACCTGGAGGGCAAGGTGATCTCCAGCTCGCAGTGTGACCCGGCCACCAAGCCCCTGGCTGTCCACCCGTGTGGAGACAAGAACTGCCCCGCGCACTGGGTGGAGCAGGAGTGGGACCAGGTAAAGCCCAGCCCGGCCCCGTGTCCTCAGCCCTCCTTTCCGCAGGGTGTGGTGGGAGGCTGTCTCAGCACAGTTGTGTAGTGTGACCTCCAGACACGGAGCTGTACCCTTGTCCCGCTCTTCTGAGAAAGAGGGAAGGAGTGGTGAATATCCCAGTATGTCCCCACTGCACCCCATAGAACACCCCAAAGTTGTGGTGCGTGCTGCCTTCCAGAGGAGCTCCACTGGAGGGCAGCAATGTCCCAAGGAAACTGCAGCCGCCTCGGCAGAGCCCTGTTCGCTCATCCCCACGGAGGGGTGAGCTTCCCACAGCTCAAGAGACAGTCTGAGCAAAACCAGCCTGGTCTCTGACAAATAACAGCTGGGGGCCAACCTGAACCGAAAGTCCCATCCAGAAAGTCACATCCAGACCATGACTGTGTGCTTGCTTCACGGATCATAGTCCAGTGAACACAGTCCAGGTGCTCTGTTCCACCCAACACTGTCCTGCCCCTCTCTTTACTCTCATTCTGTTGCTCAAAGCCTTTAGGGTTCCCTGTACTAGCTGATCCAAATCCCAGAGTATCCAGAGAAACATGTTTAATCACTTGTGGGGCTTTTCTTTGAAGTCTTGGGCAAAACGGGGATTCATACAGCACTGAGGAAGAAGGTTTCTAGGAATAAGGAAAGCAGCCAAGCCCTCTTCTCTCCYATCATGGCTATGCCTCTGTTCTCACTTTGCTGCCTTTATAGCTTCTGGCTGCATTCAGCTGAGTGTCTTCCAGCACCAGTGATGGGCACTGGTTAAACCTGGCAGTTCTTCAGCCCTCCCCTGCTCTGGCCCTCCCTGTGGGTCACACACTGTCCTGCAGTGCCATTGTCACCAGTGACTCGGCTTTTTGACTCATCAGAGCTCTGAAAGGCCAGCTGAGCTCCCCATCTTTGCCTGTGCCAACTTCTTTGCCATGTTCCCTCGGCTGATGAGCTCTGAGTTCTCAGGATGACTAAGGGCTGATGTGAGCCGGCTGTGCTGGCCCTGCTGTGGTGGAAAAGGGCTCAAARCAGTGAAATCCCAAACTGGCAACTGTCTCCACGGGCATCAGGGAGCAGATCCTGCCTCCTGCTGCTTCTGCTGGTGGTGTCCTGAGGGAGYGAGCCCTCCCAGCTAAGCCTGCATGGCTCTGGGCTCAGCAGTGCTTGTCTGTGCACATCACCTGCACTGCACCACTCTKCTCCCTTTGGGCCCAGATGAAGCTTGGCCGTACTCCAAAATGTAGGTTGCTACACGCAGATGCTCTGTGGTTTTTGAGAACATAAGATACCCATGAAATAAGACAGAAACAGCCTCTTGTAGCCTTACCTTGGCTGCTCCAGGCCCCTGTGGTGGCTGTTCTCGAGGCCAGCCAAGGTGAGCTTAGCTGAGCACTAATTACCAGCATCTGGAAATCTGGGAAATCTGGAGATACCYCCTGCCCTGCGACCCGGGCAGCACTTCCCAGTTAGACTGGTGCTGGCACAGGCACCAAGCCTTCCTTCTGAGCAGGATGCCATCCTCCCTGAGGCTCGGGCTGTTYGTCACCAGGCTCTGTTCCCTGACAGTGCGATGCCAGCTGCGGGCGAGGGACCAAGAGCCGGCTGGTGCTGTGTGCGGGGCTGGAGAATGGGCTGTACCGCGAGTACCCCGAGCAGCGCTGCGAGGCCGCCCCCAAGCCTGAGCAACACGCTGCCTGCTTTAGGAGGCCGTGCTCCACCTGGTTCACCACCTCCTGGTCCCAGGTAGGGTGGAGGCGCTGGGGAAGGGGCAGGGGAAGTCTCAGAGTCCTGGCTGGGGGAGCAGGACTGGTGCTGAGGTGCTGTGGCAGCCTGTTGTGCTGAGGATCTGCTGAACATGGACAGGACCCCAAGCTCTGCTCTGCTGCAGAGCAGGCAGCACACACAGGCTGGAGAAAACCTTGGAGGGTGGGGGTTATTGCCTCAAGCAAGGGCAGGCACCACACTCCAGGCATGTGGCGTACAGCCATGTCTTCTCCTCTGCCAGGAGTGTGTGCTCTGTCCTTCCCTCTTGATGCTAACTGGTGAGAATTTAGGGAATGGGAAGGCAGGAGAACTGGGTCTGGCTTGTAACAGCCATTTTCTCCATTTTCTGTCACAGCATCAATGTTCCAAACAAAAATAGTTCTGAGCTGCCATAAAGAGAAGAAAAGCAAATTTTACCTTGCTCTGCCCCAGCCCCAGCTCAGGGATGCTTTTCTTCAGCAAAAAAAGGGAGAGTAAGCTTGAGATTATCRTGGCATTTGATCCAAACCTCCTCAAGAGCAGTCTCTAAAGCAGGGACTGGGAGACCTCAATAGAAAAAAAAAAAACTTGGGAGTTATGGAAAAACAGAAAATGCCTCTAATGCTCTCTTTCCTGTGTCTTTGACCCCGACAGTGCAGCAAAACATGTGGTGCTGGTGTGCGCCTGCGGGAGGTGAAGTGCTACCAGGGGGAAGCGCTGGCTCAGGGCTGTGACCCTGCTGCCAAACCAGAGGCCAGGCAGATGTGCCAGCTCCAGCCCTGCCCCACAGAGGCACCAGGTACGTCTGGAAGGRCAGGGAGGGAGGTGGAGCATCTGCCCATGTCCATGCTGGGGAAACACATCTCCTTTAACCCCTGCTGTRTGTGCTCTGCTCCCCAGAAGACGCCTGTGAAGACAAAGCGACAGCCAACTGCGTGCTGGTGCTGAAGGTGAAGCTGTGCTCCCACTGGTACTACAGGAAGGCCTGCTGCTGGTCCTGTCGGCTCAAATCGCCCTGAGCGCTGCCAGGCCCTACTTCCCTTCCAAGTCTGGGGGCAGCAGCCCCCTGGAGCCAGACTTTCCACTGGGAGCCACCCCACCTGGCTTGGCTGTGGAGCCAGTCCCTGTAGAGCAGCCTGATCAGCRAGGAAGGATTCCTGCGACGTAGTCATCACTGCTCCCTCTCCACCAAGAGGGTTTTACATAAGACAAACCATCAGTGCCTAGAAAGCTACTGAGAAGTGAGTTGGGAGAGACTGTCCCTGCTGTCACCATCTCTGAGGGCACTGGCCAGAGGCAGCGGGGTGCCCAGGCCAGCCTGTGACAGGGCACGGATGGCAGTGTCCCTCTGCTCTGTCCTGCAGGCTTCCTACTACAAGGGCAACTGCCAAAGCACCAAAAATTGTGTCACAATAAAGAGATAAACCATAAAACCRTGGATTTGGGATGTGTGTGCCAAGGCCACAGCCAAGGGAGGAGCAGGGGACACAAGAGGAGCAAAAGGAGGAGCAGGAAGGGTGGGGAGGAAAAATCCTTGCACCAGCAGAGCTTCCAGGCAGCACTGGATAAAGCCCTTTTGGTGTTGCCTGCCAAAAGAACAGAAACCACTCCTGGTTTGTATTTCAAAGTCCTCATTTATTTCTGACATTGAATTTGGACCCATAGCTGAGCAACAAAGACCGAGTATAGTAACAGGAGGAATCTGAAGTGGAAAAAATCTGGGATCCCTGCCCCTACCCCATCCTATTCCTCCACCAAACCTTCTAATCCTCAGCTGCATCCCCCGTGTTTTCAGCCCTTCCAGACTCACCCATTTCCCTGTAGCTGTGCCAGACCCAACCCTCATCTTGGCCATCTGGCTGCTCTGGTACTGCCTCCCCAGCCTTGGCACCTCATTAGCCGGCGACAGGTCACACTTAATTTGCGCGTGACAAAGATGACAGTGGGGTGGCCCTCCTTTCACCACAGGGGTGACCCACAGAAGAGTGTTATTCCCACCCCTAGAGGTCACGGGTTGTGTGCCAAGAGGCAGAGCTGGATGCCAGGAGCCGCTGTGTCCCCGCGCTGGCTCTGCGCCCACCAGAGGCATGGCAGGGCTGTCTGGCAGAGACCACACTAGGACACRTTAGCTTCTTGTGGCTCCCAGCACGATGAGACCTAGCTGGGCAGATGCTCTAGTGGGAAACAATGGGATTTATCAAATTAGCCAAGATTTCCTTCCAGTTACAGACTGTATTTTCAGGGAGGAGCACCGCTGGCTGGGAGGCAGTAGGAGCTACAGTCCATTGCCCAGTGGGATCCACAGAGATTTGCTGTGGCTAACTTTCATCTTCCCTCCTGCCTGCCCTTAATGTGAGAGGACATTAAAACCTGCTATCGCTATCTGGAGAATGGAAAGAGACTCTAAAAGTGGCACAGYCAGGCCAGGTCTCCAGATAATGGAAATGCAATGTCATTTTGGGCTGGAGGTGGGGGAGATGGTGCATAACATTTGCTCAGAAGTGTGTGTAAAATGCAGACTGGGGCAACGTGTTTGATTACAAGGACCATACCACATTTTGTCTGGTTCCTTCCTTCAAATGAGAGGTGCCAGAGCGTGGGCAGGGCCAGTGTGTCCAGTGTGTACATCAGCCTTTTCCCTGTTAACGTGGACACTGGAGGCTGGTGCGTCTCTGTGCTGAGACCTACATTTTCTGTGTGTGAATGGGGAGGTTAAAGTCCAAATCCTTCTGTGAGCAGTGGGATGATTTCTAAACTGCAGTRGTGAAAATAAAATCCCACCACTCACGTTTCTGAGCAGTCCTACCCTATTGCAAAAGCATAGCAAGGTTTTCCTGCCACTGCCTCCAACAGCATCMGCAGGGATCGTTGCTGTCCCAGTCCCTCCTCCCTGCCGTGAATGGGAAGTGCTCAGCTGAGCAGTCCTGCACTGGTTGCTATGGAAGTGCCTGGGAATGATGGAGATGTCCCTTCAGTAATTTTTCACCTAATTTGATTTATGGAGGAAGAAGAAACTTTCCCACATTCATTTTTGCAGAAAGGCAGAGTCACTGGCTGTCGTTGCCAGCTGCAGCACCGGTGAACCCACGYTCACAACATTCGGGTCTTGCACCCTCTTCTTTCAAAAGCAAAAGCAGGGGGACCCYGGCCAGCTSAATGTCACTGTCCTGTGGGAGACTGTGGGCACTGCAAAGGAGACATAACCCAGAGGGCCCTGCTGTTGCTGCCAAAAGCAAAAGCAGGGGGACCCTGGCCAGCTGAATGTCACTGTCCTGTGGGAGACTGTGGGCACTGCAAAGGAGACATAACCCAGAGGGCCCTGCTGTTGCTGCCAAAAACAAAATCCATCYTAAAGCCAACCTTCCTCCGGCTGTCGGAGCTGTCAGAGTGGGGCTTTGAAAGCTGAAGGTRACCAAAACTGCAGTTATTTAGGGATTTAATTCTTCCCATAAGTAAAATCTCACCATATTCATGGGTCCAAGTTAAAATTGCTCCTAAGAAAGCTTGTGAAGAGTAGAAGATYGACCTGTGCCTGTTGGCGTGGGTGAGTGCTTTCGTGAGGAACTTTGCCTCCCCCGGCAGTGACCTAAATTTGTGCCCTGAACTTCTTCAGCATGTGCGAAAGACCCAAGCAGGTGGGAGATGGTGCCCCACCTTACACTCGAACAGAAATGCTGACTAATGCAGTGCGAGGGAAGCAGGATGACCTGGACCATCCCTTTTCATTCCCCATCGCTGAGGAGCGCTGCCATGCCCTGCCTGGCACCGGGTTTCACCCGGGACAGCGGCTGATGGTGGATCAGATCGCTCTGTGTGCCACAGGCACCGGGCATCACCTTGGGTGGCTACGTGGGGACATGAAGGCCTCGCTGGGCTCGGGGGGCCAGGGGAGCTCGGGGTAATTAAATTAGGTTGTTCTGTACATAGCCCTCGTTAGAAAGTCCCTTTGGGAGAGAGAGTAGATAATAATGACACTTATGATGGGTTCGGAGGCGGCCGGTCCGACGTCGCCCTTCGAGGTCTCGCTCGCCTTCTGGCCGTGCCGGGCAGCTCCAAGGACCGCGCCGCCCTCAGGGCTCCTCTCCTCAAAGACAGCGAAAAGCCCCTTCCCTGGAGCGGGCGGCGGCCGGGGACACCYTGTGCTCATTACACGTCGGTGCTGATGGCCCGCGGGTTCGGGAAGCCGTCGCGGAGCAGCCCGTGGCGGCTCAGCGTGTAGCCTTGCAGGGCGGCCATGCTGAGGGGCGGCCCCATCTCCTKGTAGCGTGCCGGGGTGTAGGCGACCCGCTCGCCCCCGTTGCGCACCATGTCGGCAGTCCGGATGTAAAAGGGGGAGCCGTACGGGGAGCAGGTGGGGCAGTAGGTGTGAGCCCCGTGCTGGTTGAGCTCGCCGGGCGGAGGAGCGGGGCTGCCCTGCCCGTCCGCCATGCGGGAGCTGCAGGCGTTGCACATGACGAGGTGCGAGTGCGCGGGCAGGTCGGGCTCTTCCTCTTCCTCCTCCTCCTCCTCCTCCTCCTCCTCCTCTTCCTCATTGGAGTCATTTTTCTTGCAGCAGTAGTACTGCGGGAAAGGGAAGGGGGTGTATGAGCGGCTGGAGAGGCAGCCGTGCCACAACCCCGCTCCCCCATCCCCCTGAGGAACCCTCCATGTCCTCTCACTGATCTGCTCCACCATTCCTGGGCTCTGTGAAGCAGCAGGAGCCAGACAAAACCTGGACCTGAGAGTGCTGCAGGAGGAGCTCACCCTCACCCCCCTGTGAGGTTTGCAAGGGGAAGAAGGTATTTCGAACYGCCAGCTGGACACTGCTCCATGTAAGCGCTGTGCTTTTCATCACATGGGCACTGCTGCATGGCACAGACTTCGCATTAACTTTTAAAGAGCAGGAGGTTGTAGCTAGCTGTTGTTGAAAGCCTCCTCGTTTAATTTACAAGGGAGAAAAAAAATTCCATAAAAATCTCCATCTGGTATTGCAAACCCAGCCAAGCCTGCACCTCAATTAGCAGGTTCTGCAGAGCCTCGAAAGCCCTTGGGCAGTAACCCCCACCCCTAGGGGAGGGAAGGGCATAGCTGCACCTGGGGGGATGAGAGCTTTCAACTCCCTCCCATCACAGCAAAAACACCCCTCTTGCAACAGCACCTTGAGCACAGAGCCACAGAGTACCCRGAGCTGGAAGGGACCCACAAGGATCATTGAGTCCAATTCCTGGCCCTGCACAGGACAGCCCAAAAATCCCACCATGTGCCTGAGAGTGTTGTCCAAGCACTTCTCCAGCTCTGGGAGGCTTGGGGTTGTGCCCTGGKAGCTTTTTCCAGTGCAAGGAGGGGGTGAACACTCACTTGTAGCCTACAGTAGCAGAGCACAGCGATGATGCACAGTAGGATCACCGTTGCTAGGATTCCCCCGGTGATAACAACAGTTCCCGCTGTCATCCGACCGGTTCTCCATCAAACTCTGTAAGGCAGGGACACAAAACTCACCCACCATGGTATTGCCATCACATCATGGACGAGATGACCACAGGGCATCCCGAAATGTTGCATTCTCATTCCCCTCTCCCCAGCTGGAAAAGTATCATTCAATATTATCCTCCTGCTCCTCTCAATGAGAGGACATCTGAGACACAGCATCGCATCCCCTCACTGTCACTGCTGGTCTGCCTTGGGGTCTTGGTCAAACACCCCACAGCCCACTGGCAGAACATTCCCCTTACTGAGCCAAAGGGATGATTTCCACCCTCCTGGAAGAAAATCCAGTTTCTGCTTCCAACTGCAGGAGCAACCCAGGTTTTCACCAGGAAAAGCCATAAGGGAGCCTCTGATCTCCACAACAGTCTGAGCCCAAAAATTGCACCCCAGGTGCCTGTTGGGCACTCACGAGGCCGAGCCACCCCCATCCCTGTGCCACGGCACCCAGGGGATACTCACGTTCAGTGACGGAGGCGTTGGACCTGGAGGAAGTGGAAGGAGAGGTTAGACATGGCCTGACAGCACCCCTTGCACCTGCCTGCCTTTCCACATTTCCCAAGAATTTGCCTTCATTTGGGACCTGCAGGAAGCCSTGCTCCACCCCTGTGTTATTTTCTTTTATTTGAAGCTCAGAGAAACGCTGTACAGGAGCAGGGCGCAGGCCTGGCTTAGTCAGCACTTGGCTTTTTCTACTTTAAAATTCATTACAGGGAAGGCAGACGCCTTCCACACCACACAAGTGGCTGATATTTTAGGGAAAGGAGGGAAAGAAGATCTCCCCTCCATCCCTTCTGGGACAGGTGAGCCCCAGCATTCCCCCTGGACACTTACCCGGAAAAGGACAGGCAGGGTGTCACAGTCACGCCAGCCCCAGGGCAGCAGGCAGGGACAGGCAGCACCACATGGCCACGGGGAGACTCAGTGACCCTGGGAGGGAGAGCAAGGAGAAAAACTGCACCAACATCAGCTTGACCCCCTCCCCAAAAGGGCTGCAGTGTCCCCATCCCCACCAATGGGGATGTCACCACAGCGGGGCTGAACAAACTGCTTTTTTAGGGAGACGGTCAGAAAAGGTGGGTGCTGCAAAGGTGGGTTAACCAAACTGCCAGGAAAGGATGATCCCATGCCCCAAATGTGCCATTTCAGCAAGACTGAGGACTTGCAGCGAGAGGTGGGTGCAGCCATGGCCCCATCACACCCCTGCCCCCAGCAATGCCCGGCGCAGCCGCATTTCATTACCGGCCCCTGCGTCCCTCTGTGCCTCGTCCAGAGCAGGGATAATTGATAGGGCCCAAGTGCCAGCCCGTTGCAGCTGAGGAGATCTAATTACCCGCTCACCACGCGGCCCCAATTAACGCAGAGAGGTGGCAGCTTCCAGGCGAGACCTTCCCAACTCTGCCCCGGCCCCTCTGCGCTGCAGGTCCCAGCAGACACGGTGTGGAACCTCCCTCGCCCAAAATCACCACCCTCCTCGCTSTGCCGTGGTGATTTGCACATACTGCCTGCCACAAATTGATTTTTGGCTCCTGGGAAGTTCCTGTAGGAAGCCAAAAGGCRGGCACGCATTGGATTTCCTCCTTGAGCCGCTCTCACACGCGAAACAAAGGGGAAAAAAACCCCGAAGAAATCAATATGTCTATAACCCAGCTAATATCCCCATCCATCAGGAGACCCAGCACAGAGCTAATAATAGACACCAACACACTCAGCTCCTGCTCCCTGTTACCAAACTGTACCCTGAACCTCTGCCAGGAGTGTGAGGGGACACACAGGGAGCCTTTGGTGCAGTTGTCACCACCCCAGGTGCCTTCCTTAACAGGGAAAAGGTGACAGTGGGGCGGCTGAAAAAGGCAAATGCTGACCTTTGATGACCCCGAGAGGGACATGCCGTGAGCCGGACGGTGATGGATGATGCAGGCGGCCGTTCACATCCAGAAAACTTCATTTCATGGGAGCTGTGATTTGATTTAGAGCTCAGAGAGCAGCATCCAATTAGCCCAGGGATTGGAGTGAGCAGGCGGCCCTGGAGAATGACCCTAAGCAGGGAGGGACCTGCCTTGGGGATCCTTTGTTCACCTCTAAGAGCTGAGTGTCTGACTGGTGCTACCTCGAGGATRGCTGCACTTCCACATACCCCATCTCTGGTATTCCCATTTCTGGGACTGCTGGGATCAGCATTTCACTAGATCTGCTCAGGAGCCAGGCTCTAACTTATTAAAATAGTGAATGTAAAAAAAAAACCCAAAAATGAAAACAAAGCACAAAGAGAAGTGTTACCTTTCCTCTTCTCTTTCAAGGGGATGTTTTCCGAGAGGAGGGAGTTCCTACCCTTCTCCCCTGCCCCAAACACTGCGCACCAGCAGCCCAGAAATTCATTTTCTACCCRGTTTGTGCCTATAAAGTAGCTTTCTCCTATTCTGTATGGATGMAAAAGGGAATGTTAACACCTCCCAAGAGCAAGAACCACAGTCTCAGGAATAACTGGGGTCTTGGGATTTATAAATTAATTATGCCCAGAGAGGGGCAGGACAGTRACAGCAGCCTTTTCACATCTTTGCCACCAGGAACCAGCCCATGCTCATTTTCCATCCACCTTCCCCAAAACCATGCCAGCCTGCTGGGAAAGGAGCATTTTGGGCTCCACTGGCCCCACCACTCCATCCCTACAAAAGGCCATACAATTTCATGGATCCYGTAAAAGCGTGGGCTGCACTGTGAGCTGAGCCCTGCAGCTGCTGCTCCTGGAGTGGGACAGGACACAGAATCCCCAGTCGGATTCACAAGCTCAACTCTCCAAGGCAAAGCCCCATTTCTCCTTCTGGCTTAAAAAGGGAGTTGAGAGTTGTTTAAATATTTAAATATCCCAGTCTGAGCAGATGCCTTGGCAGTCACTGCTCACCCGTTCCTGGGCAGCTCAGGAGAGCTGACAATACAGGAGTGGCCGTGGGGACCCTCTGGCATAAAAATCATCCGAATAAAGTTAGGATTTACATGAGCAGGGCTGCGATACCCTCCCTGCCTTTCGGGGAGTGGTTGGAGGTGCTCGGCAGCGGTGTCACTGTGTCCCCGGCGGGTCGGGAGCAGGCGGAGGGCGGGTCCGTGTCTTTATCGAATCCCGCGGGCAGAGCCGCTTGCTGCAGAGATATATTTTCTGTAATTGATGTTGCCTCACAGCGCAGAGTTACGGCCTGAAAAATGACTCCGGGAACGAGTGGCATCTCAGGCTTCTATATTTATTCCCCTTCAATGACGCCCATAGCAGCTTTGCACAGTTTGCAAGTCGATGCCGAGGATTTTGTCAGCCACCAGCAACCTCAGCCCAGCTGAGACACTCCGGTCCTTCCTCACGCTGCGAGYCCCACCAGCCCCGAGCTCATCCCCGACAGGATGCTCGGGATCAGCTCACACCGATCGCTCACACCGGAGCTCGGGAGCAGCTTTAGGCTGGGGCAGGGCACACTTACAGAGCATCGTGCCGAACCTTGCCGCGGGTCCTGCCCCAAGCCAGGCTCTGCTCTCCTGCTTTTGCTCTGCAGCTCACGGGATAATTCAATGAAATGTCTGCCTGGTAAATTAGCCCGGCCGCTGCCTCACCAGAGTCATCTCCCAGGGCCTAATTGGAAAAAAACAGCATCAGGGGCTGCCTTTTCAAAACAGATTATGGCAGCAAACAGCAGGGCAGCTCCTGGGCAACTGTGACCTGCCCCACACAGACCCAGCCTGGTGACATTCAGGGGGCTCAAACCTGACACAAACCCCCAGCCCTGGGGCAGGATGGGGRCACAGGCAAGGCTGGGGCCCTGAAAATTCCCTGCCGTGCCAGGTGCTCTGTGTTGCAAAGCTCAAGGGGACGAACCAAGCCACGGGGGAGCAGAAACAAGGAGACTCCGCCACACAAACCAGCCGAGCCAAATGAAATTTTACCCAGTSATGAGTAAAATGTGGGATGCAGCTGGCAGCCTCCCAGTACCCTCTCTCTGGTCCCAGCACTCGCCCCCAGGCTGTCTGCCCAGGTGGCAAACCCCTGGGTCACTGTGAAGCCTTTAAACTTCTCATTAACAAATCACCAAATCTGCTGCTGATTCTGCTGGAGTTATACTGGAGTCTGGACCAGCCTGCAGACAGAAATCACAGCTGCAGTTGGGAAAACTTTGATTTTAGCCTGCTGCAGAGAACTCCAAATAAGGTTCTTCCCAGCAGAAAGGGTGTTTTGTGTGACCCATTTCCTCCCTGAGTCTTTTCCCAGCTGTAATGCCTTTGGTGCCTTGAGCCACGTGTGGTTTTGTTGCAGCCAACACCCTGCTCCCGCACCCCACAAGGACAGCCAGGTCGCAGAAGTGASCCCCAGCTGAGGCTCCGGTGAATCACAGTCAGTCATCAAAACCAAAAATCCTGTGCCCTGCTGCAAGTCTGCCCTTGCTTTCACTCCACCACCTGGATCAGCTGCCCCGGGCTCCCCACTGCCTCTTCCCAGCCTAGGGATGRGAAAGACAAAATACCAACAAGGATGTGAAACCAGCTCTTCTCTTGCAAAACCTTTGTGGAAAAGGCAAGGTATTAATTGCAATTAACAAAAATCAAACTCCTTCAACGATGGGAGCTGCCAGCCAGATCCCATCTCCCGAGTGGGCACAAAGGGCTGCGCTCCTGCTGCTACCACTGTGCTCTGGACCTGCTGAGTGCGGGAGATCCCTTCTGGGGAACTCTGGCAAAAAATCACCCTCTTGCAAACCGGGCCTCATGCTGCCCATGGAGCCCGGGAGAACTTCCCTGCCAACAGCAATTGCCTTTTGGTCCCCCTCCGATCTCAGTTCGGGTCTCAGTCCGGGTGTGCGAAGCCCTGGCACATCCTGGGACCAGCTGCCACATCCGCATTCCTCCCTCAGTGAAACCTCCCGGCGCTTCTCAGGCTTCTGGAGGAAGGGCAGCTTTGCAGGCTGGGACGTCTCAGGCACGGATTATCCCGGTATCTCGTTACTT